CTCTTCCTCCTCCTCCTCCTCCTCTTCCTCCTCCTGCTCCTCCTCTTTCCCTCCTCCTCTGCCTCCACCTCCCCCTCCTCCTCCTACTACTCTTCGTCATCCATCCTCCCTGCTCCTCCACCTCCTTATCCTCCTCCCCTTCTCCTCCTCCTCCTCCTCCTCCTCCTCCTCCCACTCCTTCTCCTCCTCATCCTTCTCCTCTTCCTCCTCCTCTATATCCTCCACCTCCTCATCCTCCTCCTCATCCTCCTCCTCCTGCCCCCCTCTGCCCTTGTCCGCCTACTGCGGTTGTCCTCCTCCTCCTAGTCCACCTCCCCCTCCTCGTCCTTCTCCCTCTCCTCCTCATCCTAATCCTCATCAGCATCCTCATCATACGCCTCCTCCTCATCATCATCACCATCATCATCATCATTATCATTATCATCATCATCATCATCATCATCATCATCATCATCAGCATCATCATCATCATCAGCAGCAGCAGCAGCAGCATCATAATCATCATCATCATCATCATCATCATCGTCGTCGTCGTCATCATCATCATAATCATCATCATCAGCAGCAGCATCATCAGCATCATCATCATCAGCATTATCATCGGCATCAGCAGCATCAGCCTCAGTAGCATCATCATAAGCATCATCAGCAGCAGCAACATCATTATTATCCTGATCATCATCAGCAGCAGCAGCAACAACCTCATCATCATCAGCAGCATCAGCATCATCATCATCATCAGCAGCATCAGCAGCAGCATCATCAGCACCATCCGCATAATCATCAACATCATCAGCATCATCATCCACAACGTCATCAGCATCACCATCATCATCACCATCTGCATCATCAACATGATCGTCATCAGCAGCAGCAAGAGCATCATCAGCATAGTCAGTATCAGCAACATCATCAGGAACGCCATCATCATCAACAACATCAGCAACATCAGTATCACCATGGCCAACACCAGCACCATCATCATGATCAGCGGTACCAAGCGCATCATCATCATCATCAGCAGCAGCAGCAGCAACATCATCACCATCAACAACAACTACAGCATCAACCTTATCATTACGTATCCATCGGCATCATCATCAACATCATCATCCGCATCAGCACCATCAGCATCATCAGCATCACTAACATCAGCATCATCACCATCATCATCAGCATCATCATCACCAGCATCAGCATCATCAGCATCATCATCATACTAAGCATCCCCATGACCAACATCATCCGCAACATCATCACGATCAGCATCCGCAACAGCCGCAGAAGCAGCAGGCACATCATCTGCATAAGCCCCATCATCACCATCAGCATCATCGGCATCAGCATCGTCGACAACAGCATCATCAGCATCATCCTCATAAACATCAACACTCACACCATCAACATCACAATCAGCATCGTCATCCTCAGCAGCATCATCAGCATCATCATCGGCAGCAGCATGACCACCAGCATCATCATCGTCATCATGAGCATCAGCATTATTAACATCATGAACATCCGTATCATCACCAATATCACCATCATCAGCATCACCATCACTATCAGCATTACCATCATCATCATCATCATCATCATCAGCATCATCATCAACACCATCATCAACATCATCTCGTCCTGCATCATCCTGCGCATTCGCATCCTCCTTGTAAGCCTCCTCCTCCTTCTCATACTCCGCCGATCCTGCTCCTCTTTCTCCTCCTCCGCATCGTTTTGTCTTCCTCCTCCTGTCCTCCTCCTCGTGTCCTCCTGCGCTTGTCCCCATCATCTTGGCCTCCTCATCCTCCTCATCCTCATCTCCCTCCTCATCATCCTCATCCGTTTTTCACCCGGTTCCTCCTCTTGTCCTCCTCCTCGTCCTCCTCTTGGCATCCTCCTCCTGCTCCTCACCAACATCACCACCACCACCAGCACCATCATCACCAGCAGCAACAACAACGACATCGTCAGCATGAGCAACATCTTCATCATCCTGATCAGCATCATCAGCATCATCATCATCATCACCATCATCATCATCGTCATCATCAACATCGTCGTGTTCGTCAGCGTCATCATCATCAGCATCATCATCATAATCATCATCATCAGCATCAACATCATCGTCATAATCATCAGGGTCATCAGCGTCATCCGCGTCATCAGGATCAGGAGCATCACCATCACCAGCATGATCAGCATCATAAACAGCAGGATCACCATGATCATCACCATCATCATCAGCAGCATCATCATCGTAATCGTCAACGTCACCATCATCGGCAAACGCATCATCATCATCAACATCATCATCAGCATCGTCACCAGCATCATCCGCATCATCATCAGCACCATCAGCATCAGCATCATCAGCATCGTCCTCAGTTGCATGATCGACATCATCATCAGCATCATCATCAGCACCATCGTCATCATCATCATCATCATCATCATCATCATCATCATCATCATCATCAGCATCAGCATCATCATCATCATCATCATCATCATCATCATCATCATCATCTGAATCATCATCTGAATCATCATCATCATCGTCATCATCATCATCGTCGTCGTCATCAACATCGTCATCAACAGCATCAGCAGCATCATCAGCATCAT